TATTTTTTTAATTTATTTTTAATATATTTTTTTATTTTTTAGAAGAAGCATTTCATTACAGCTTTAACATACTCAATAACAATTTCCAGAGTAAAGATACATCTCTTTCAAAAGTGGCTATAAAATTTTTAGGTTCACAGTTGAATTAATACAGTTATACAACATTGAACTCAGTATAAACCCTGTAAGATATAAAACTGAATGAGTTTTTACTCTTTAAAGAAGATCTCCATTTCATGATATGCTGTTTCCTACATTTTAAAAATATTGTTTTGGTTTTTTTTTTTTTTAGAAGAAGCATATCATTACAGCTTTAACATGCCCAATAACAGTTTCCAGAGCAAAGACACAGCTCCTTCAAAAGTGCCTATACAATTTCTAGGTTCACTGTTGAATCAATACAGTTATACAATATTGAACTCAGTATAAGCCCTGTAAGACATAAAATTGAATGAGTTTTTAGCCCTCAAGAGATCTCCATTTCATTCTAAAATATACTGTTTCTTACAGAAAGACTCATTGTTTTTGCTATTAACACTGAGATGTTGGCGTGTGTCTCTAATCTGTATGTATCTGATTATTACTAGTCATAATCGTTTGCACGTGGATCCTTGGCGCTTGTATATGTCTATAAAGTCTTCGGGCAGATTTCAATGGTAATGTTCATCACCTCTACTAATTAACATGACGTAATTTTTACGCTTCTTCCTCAAATACGTTTTTTTTATTTGTTTTTTTTTTTTCTGTACACAGAACATCCCAAACCATCTTATTCAACTATACACCCACTTCCCAGATGGCACCCTCCCATAGCCTCCCTCCCCCTACTAGAGCCCTTATACTCTGTTATCCCTGCTACTGTCTGCTGTGTTGCTGGCACCACAAGCCATCCCCCCCTACTTGTCCATCTGGTGAATCTAGTCAGCCTATCTAGAGGTCTTTGTTTTAGGAAGGTCAGCTGTTCCTCATCTAGCAGCAATCAGTTGTCAATATCCCTTTAGATAAGATTGGGGTCTGCTGTTCATTTTCCCAGTTCTATGCTGGGTTACTATCTGGGAGTCCCTTGGGCCACCCTGGCCAACAACTCAAAAGAAGGTATCTCCTATCTGGCATTGTTGCTTGTTATGTAGCCTTTAGCTATACATATGGACTCTTAAAAAATTATACTGGCCTCTTTAATCTTTGGTTATACTTTCCTTTTGGGTGTTTAAGGCCATACATTTGGCCCAGATAAACCAATTTATTTTTACTCTTTTTAAGGTCTTTTGAGGATCTGTTCCTCAGGGGTCACATGGGCTTGGGAGGAGCCCCTGGCTCCTTTCTTTTACCAGTTCTGCCTATGTGAAGATAAGTCAAAGGTCCTGCCACTTTGATGTCCTCTTTCTTGACCTGTCACACCTTTAATCCCCCGCCCTGAAGTGGGAGCTCCCTGCCAAGCTCCTTCAGAGGCCAAGTCCACACATGACCACTCCTTGAAGAAAAACCAGTAGAGGTCTCCAGTTGTCATCATGCTCTCTGGGGATACACCCATATGCAGCAACCATTTGGGGAGATCTTTCCAAGGCAGTGCAGTCTCTTCTGGCCTGGGCAGTCCCATCACAACAGGATGAGGTCAATGGGACAATCCGCTGACCAAAACCAGGGTGCTAACACCATCTGAAGGAGGCATGCCCCTTGAGGAGGGTAATTAGTTATATTAATAGGTACCCAGGACTAGGGGTCCCCTTGGGACAGGGTAGCCTTCCAAACCAGCTCAGTCCTCAGGGCCATGGAATCTGAGTGGTAGCCAGTCCAGCTGGGCATCCACAGGGTCAACAGGGACGTCAGGATGTAGGGCATGCAGAGTCGTTGCTCCCATCTTGAGGTTGCTTGGATATTGTCAACTTCAGAGGCTGGTCTGGGGCAGCTCTGGCAGTCCACCCGTTTCGGATTCACAGCCGCCTTGATGTGGAAGTGATGGATCCAGTCCATCCAGTCACTTGATGCCTGAGACTTTGAGAGCTGAAGAGGTGGTCAGTATTATTTAATATGGCCCCTCCCATCTTGGGTCTAGGTTTCCCCTGACTAGGTTTGGGACCCTAACCCAAACCCAGTCTCCAGGGTTCCAGGAATGCAAGGGGCCTGGAACAGTAGGGGTTGGGGGTAGGTTCAAGTGCTCAGAGATCTCTTTTATTGTGTTAACTAAATCTTTCAAAAACTGTAGGAGGTGAACCTGCTCAAACTCTCTGAGCTCTCCAGCTTCCCTAGAAAGGAGTGGTGGTGGGCACCCAAATAGAATCTCAAAAAGAGAAAAACCACACTTTCTTGGTGCACACCATACTCTGAACAGTACAAGTGGCAAGATCTGCCAGGAGAGACTTGTTTCCTGGCAGTGTTTGGCTATGTAATTTTCAGGGTTCTATTCATCCTCTCAACCTGGCCTGAAGACTGTGGGTGACACCAAGTGTGTGGAGTCCAAGTCAGCCCCGCTGCCTTAGATACTTGCTGAACAATTTTGCTGACAAAGGCTGGGACATTATCTGACTCTGATGCTGGTTGGGACCCCAAAGTGCAGGAAGATCTCTCTGACCAAGGTCCGGGACACTTCCTGGGCTTTCTCCTTGAGAGTGGGGAAAGCTTCCACCCAGCCTGAGAAGGTGCAAACAATGACTAGTAGGTACTGGTGAAATCCACTTTCATATGTTCAAATGGGCAGGATCCCCGTTTCTGTGGCAACAATGGGGGCCAGGGGCCCTGCTTTGGGTTGTTTTGTGCATACCGTAGGCAAGCTTTACTAGCTTGTTGGGCTAGCGTCATCAGCCTTGGGGTTATCAGATATCTCTGCAACAAGTCTCCTAAGGCTGTCTTTCCTAGTTGGGTCATCTCATGTGCCTGCTGAACCAGACCCAGTGCTGCACCCTCAGGGACTATGATTTTTCCCATCAGAGGTGATCAGCCAGCCCGCCTGGTCTTCAGTTGCACCTTGATCTATGGCCAATTTTCTCTTCTCTGGACAGTACCTGGGCCGCTCAGGGAGCATTGAAAGTGCAAAACATACCTTCTAGGAGTGGGTGAGAGGGGGACCTAGGTCTATCCTCTCACAGAGGGCTGCTCATTTGGCTGCCTGGACTGCCAGCTCATTCATTTCCTTGGCTCACTCGGTCCTTGTTCTTCGTGTGAGCCTGGCAATGTACCACAGCTATGGCCAAGGAGGCCCAGACTGCTTCGAGGAGTTGGAGGATTTGGTCACTGTTTTTTATCTCCTTACCCCCTGAAGTAAGCACTCCCCTCTCTTGTGAATGTGCAGGGTGGCAAAGGCGTACCAGGAATTGGTATAGACAGTAGCCCATTTTCCTTCAGAGAGCAAGAGCTCTTGTGAGGGCATGTAACTCAGCCTTCTGGGCAGACCAGTGATCGGGGAGATAGTCCTCTTCCATGACTTTGTCTGTGGTGGTTACTGCATATCCAGTGTGATGCTCTCCATGCTGCAGACTTCGACTTCCATCAGTAAATAGTTCCAATTCTGAATTAGAAAGTGGTTCATCCTTTAAATCTGGGCAGAAGGAGAACACTTCCTCCATAATCTCCTCGAAGCTATGGAGTGGTTCACCCTCCTCTTCTGGTTGGTAGGTGGGGCTGGGTTTAGAGTATGAGTAGCCTCTATCTGGATTCTGGGATTCTCCCCCAGCATGGCCTGGTATCAAGCCACTTGCTCCCCAGTCATCCAGTGGCTGGCCATTCCATTTAACAAAGAGGTGACTTGATGCGGTACTCTGTGATGTTTTGTCCTAAAGTCAGCTTGTCTGCCTCTTGTACCAGTGCTATAGTGGCAGTGAGCGCCTGGAGACAGGGGAGCCACCCTGAAGCCACAGGGTCTAGTCTTTTGGATAAGTATGCCACTGGTCTAGTCCATAGTCCCAGTTGTTGGGTCAGCACTCCCAGGCCGACTCCCCCTTTCTCCTCACGTGGAGGGAAAATGGGCGAGTGACATCGGGAGTGCCAATGCAGGGGCTTCACTCAGCCTCTTCTTGAGTTGGTTAAAGGCATATTCCTCCTCATTCCCCCATTTTAGTGAGTCTGGAGCGGGCCCTCGGAGGGCATGGTGGAGGGGTTTGGCGATGGCAGAGAACTCTGGGATCCAGAGTCGGCAAAACCCAGCTGCCCCTAGAAACTCTTGGAGTTGTTTATGGTCTTGGGTCTGGGATATCAGGTGATCACTCGCTTTTGTCCATCCCCCAACTTCCTCTGTCCTTGGTTGAGGTGAAACCCCAAGTAAATGACTTCTTGGCAGATCTGGGCCTTTTTCTTTGAGACTTTGTACCCTGCCTCTTGTAGGAAGCTTAGCAGTTCTTTAGTCCCCTTTTTGAAGATCTCTCTAGTGGGGGCTGCCAGCAGCAGGTCATCAACATACTGCAAAATGGTGCACCAGGCAGGCCGGCAGTTCTCCAGGTCCTTGGCTAGTGCTTCCCCAAAGATGGCAGGGGAGTTTTGAACCCTTGGGGCAGGTGAGTCCATGTCAACTGCCCTTTGGAACCAGTCTCTGGGTCCTCCCATTTGAAGACAAACAAGGGCTGGCTTGCTTCTGCTAACCTTAAGCAGAAGAAGGCATCCTTTAGATCCAGGAGTGTGAAGATGGCTGCTGTTGGGGGTATCAGGCTCAGAGCAGGGTGTATGGATTGGGGACCACCGGGTGTAGCGCCTCAGTGGCACTGTTAATTCAGCACAAGTCTTGAACTGGCTGGTAATCATTGGTCCCTGGCTTCTTTATCAGGAGCAAGGGGGTGTTCCACAGAGATTGGATTTCTCATAGGATCCCTTCATCCTTAAATCTTCTGACATGAGGAGCTATCCCAAGCTGGGCTTCAAGAGAGATCAGATATTGTCTTCGTCTCACTGGAGTGGCACCTGGCTTTAGCACCACCATTACTGGTTCTTTTGCAAGGCCAATTCTTCCTTGTATGCCCCAGACTTGGGGAAAATGTTCCAAGTACCAATTAATGTCTGAGAGACCTTGTGCCTTTCCCTCTGGTATCTCTTGGTGGAGTCTCTACTCCTCTTCTGGATGGACCTCCAGAGTCAGTACAGGCAAAGGGCCGGGGGTTGTGGAACCTAAATCCATAGCCACTGTAGTGCCAAGCTTGGACAGCAAATTTCTCCCTAGTAGGGGTCCTGGTGCCTCAGGCACATACAGGAACCAATGCCGAACATGATGTCCTCCCACTACACAGTCACGTGGCTCACAAAACCAATATTTCTTGGTTATTCCTGTGGCTCCTATGATGCTGACAGAGTCTTTAGTGAGCCTTCCAGTCGGGGAGGTTAATGTCAATACAGCTGCACCAGTGTCCAGTATGAAGTCCATGGTTTGGCCCCCTAAATTGACTCTGACAACAGGCTCACTGAGGCCAATTTTAATCAAGCCGGGTCACCTTCAATCTGATTCAGAGTCCCAAGTAGAGTTCTTAGTGTCGACAGTCTGCTGCTGCTGCTGCTGGGAGACTGCTACCACCACAGGTCTGAATGCCTCTTGCCCATGGTGTCCTCTTTCAGGATCTCTTGTTTCATCTTCCTTCTCAGGACATTCATTTTTCCAGTGTCCTTTCTTTTTGCAATATGCAAATTGGTCTTTCTCTAGGGGGTTTAGGTGTTACTGGGTCCTCCCTGGGTTTCCCACTTCCTGGAGGGCCATAGCCATGATTCTGGTCATTTTCTCTTGCCATTTTTCCTTTCCTCTTTTAGCAGCTATTTCTCGATTAGCCATCACCTTAGATGCGATGTCAAGAAGCTGACTTATGTTCATTCCAGCAAACCCCTCCAATCGCTGCAGCTTCTGGAGCACATCATAAGCTGACTGCTGGACAAAAGCAGAGTTGACCACTGAATGGTTCTCTGGGGCCTCTGGCTCAAAGGGAGTAAAGTGGTGACAGGCATCACAGAGTCTTTCATAAAACTGACTGGAAGTCTCCTCTCCTTGGATAACTTCACTCACTCAAGTTAGATTGGTAGTTCCGGGACCCCTGCTCGAGCCCCTTTGAGGATAGCACGGCACATACAATCAAGAGCCTGAGCCCCCTCCTGGGTGTTGGGGTTCCAATTAGGTTGCTCATCTGGGAAAGCAGTGTCAGTGAAACATTCCGGATTTAATGACCCTTTAGGGACCTGGCTGATGAGCCTGTCCTGGCTATCTAGAGAATGCGCCTCTGTTCCTTTGAGTCAAACGAGGTGCTGAGGAGTTGGTGGCAATCATCCCAGATGGGTTGGTATGTTTGCATGATGGAATTCAGCATAGCAATCATGGCTTGGGGCTTTTCTGAATAAGGCGGTATATGTTGGCACCAGTTGAGGTCAGTCGTTGTGAATGGTTGGTGTATCAGGCTCGAGGGACCAGCAAGTATGGTCCCATCTTCTTAAAGGATGGATGGCCCTGGAGCCTGGTGGAGTGGTCTTATACCGGGCCTATAGTGAGGTGGCCTAAATTAGGAGAACGCCCCCATTTTTCAGGTAGCAGAGGCAGTGCACCTAATGGTGGTGGTGCTTGTTCCTCCGAAGCAGCTGGGTCTCTGGTGAAGGCTGGTAGTGATTAGAGTGCAGGACTGCCTTGGTTCTGGCTAACCTGCCTGGCGTTTGTTCCTTGAGCGTTGTTTGTGTCTCTGGTGGGGCAGCTTTAGCTCCATGGATTCCAGGCTGTATAAGGTCGGTAGCTGGAGAATGGCTTTCTGAGTTGGAGTCCACAGGCAGCAAGTATGGGAGGAGTTCAGAATCCTGCTCATGTCCTTGGTGGATGGGAGGGCTGGAGGACCTCTCAGTTAACCCAGACTTGCAGGTGGCCAAGACAGCAGGCGCTGGGGACTTCTGGAGGGTATAGTATCTGAGCCAGTCAGGCAGGTGAAGTGCCTGTCCGAACCAAGAGTCTATGTAGGGGAACTGATCAGGACGTCCTGGGCTGTTGAGACAGACTTTTTTCTCTCACTCTTTTTTTTTTTTTTTCTAATATTTTATTATTTTCATTTTATGTGTATGCGTATATTGCCTGCATGTAGGTGAGTGCGCCCGTGTCATGCAATGCCTGTGGAGGTCAGAAGAGGCTGTCGGATCCCCTGGGACTGGAGTTACGGACAGTTGTTAGCTGCCATGTGGGTGCTGGGATTTGAACCTGGGTCCTTTGCAAGAACAACCAGTGTTCTTAACCACTGAGCCATCTCTCCAGCCCCTCTCTCATTCTTTTAATGGTAGGCAGATCTAGTGTGCCTCCCACTGGCCTGTCCATGTCAAAAGAAGGCCATTCAACTTCACAGAAGGTTCTTAATCTGGAGGGTTTCATCTTGGTGCCATAATCTGCATAGCCTCGCTTAAAGTTGTCCAGCATCACCTGGAGGACAGTCTGGGTCTGACACTTAGACTGGGAAGAACCCATCTGAAATTTTATAAGTGCCTGGGATGTATGTAATGTGTGCACAGGAGGGGGTAGAGAGCACCAGCCTCTCCCTCATTCAGATGCCTTCCTGGCCGGCCACCTGTCGGTGACTTAAGAGGTCTTACATTAGGGCCACACATATAATCCCCATGCTTGGTCACCGTTTAGATTAGATGACCTCAGATTTCGTAGCTGCAGAGCCAAGGAACTGTAACTTTCACTCTCACATTCACACACAAGCATTCAGAGTTTAAGACAGTTGTTACCTAGTTATTCCCACTAAATTCCTGTTCTGCCTAAAATGGGGCCAGGACCTCAGAATCACATCAAGGTTCAGTTGTAGCCTGGTTTCCTGCCTTGTTGAAGGTCAGTGCCACCCTGGTATCACGTCAGGGCTTCGTATGCAACCTCCTGTGGGTGATCAGCCCATACCAACTCCTGTCTACCCTGGGGCTTTTACCTGGTCTTGATGTCCACACTGGTCTCTGTCTCGCTTCATCTGATAAGAGGCTCCGGTCCAGGGCTTTGCAGCTCTTTCTGGCCTCCTAGAAGGAAACCCCACAGAGGGAATTCTTCAGGGGTACACACTTCTTTGTTCCAGGGGCTGTCCGGGGCTGCAGGGCCCAGGAGCGGCAGCCCCTATAACCAACAAGGGTATGGCGACTTGATCTCTGTGGGACCTCCAGAAATGTTAGGGGAAAATCAGAGACCAGTGGCCAAAGTCAGGTGAGGAGAGGGATTTAATTTTATGCTAGGGGACTGACCCACAGATCCTTCCGAAAAGGAGCCAGTTTTAGCGGTTTTTATATTCATGTGAGGAAGTACAAGTAAAAGACAGAACAGCACATAGGTGGTAATTAAGTAAAAGGTACATGTGATAATTAAGCAAGGTAACATATGGCCACAGGGGTTACAAAGACTTCCTTCCAGGTCAACCTGAGGCAGGATGGAGGAAGACTCCTGCTCACCTCCCCCATACCTCTCTCTAATCTCAGAGTTTTCTAAACTTTGGAGAACAAATGACTTCTATCCTGGGTAACCACAGGAGGTGGGGGGGATCTTAAGACTCCAGCTTATCTCCCCAGTTTATCTCTTGTCTAGGAGCTCTTCCTGCTCCACAGTTCTTAATTACCATTTCTATTACACTTTCTCCACTCACAGAGCCCTTGTCACTCTCCAACATGCCCTAAGCTCTTCCCTCAGGACCTATGCACTTGCTGTGCCCTCTGTCCACAGAACTATTTCTTCACTTCTCTGCATTCCCGTACAAATTCACCTACCCAGGAGAAACTTCTCTAACTGCTCTGGGTTACTTATTTATCTAGTTCATCTCTAAGACTCAGCTCCAAGAGAGGAGGGGCCTTAGCACCAATTTTGACTACAGCTGTATGCTCAGCACATAGGATGCACTCTGTACACACGAAAGGCTTTTAAAATTAGCTAACAAAGTTGGGCATGGTGGCGCACGCCTTTAATCCCAGCGCTTGGAAGGCAGAAGCAGGCGGATCTTTGTGAGTTCGAGGCCCACCTGGTCTACATAGTGGGTTCCAGGGCAGCTGGGGCTACAGGGAGACCCTGTCTCCAAAAGACAAAAAAAATAAATAAATAAAATTAGCTAATAAAAAATAGCTAACAAATAGGAATGTCTCATTAAGAAATTGAGTGTTGCAAAGGGCAGAGCAATGGTAAGATGCTCAGTGCTGGCTACTCAGGGTTGGAGTAGTGTCCCTAAAGTCTGGCTCCCTGGTCTTAACATTTAGACTGCAAGGGAACTGCTACGTGGGACCCACTACACAAATAGCACTTCTTGATCAAACTGCCTAAGCAGGACTCTGGGGGCATCCTGACGTAGGATTTTGCCTTTGGCACCCACATCTCCCCCAAAGGCAGCAATAGTTTAGTCTGCTGGAGCCTCTCTTCCCTCCCCTGCCCTCCCCTCCGCTCCCGTTGCCTCCCGCTTCTGCGCCCCCTCCTTTCCCGCCCTTTCCTCTGCATGCACCCACCTATTGGCCATTTTTTAGAGCACTGGGTAGGGCTTCAAGAGCAGCAGGTATTGGACGAGCGCGCGCCACGGGAGCGACCCGAGCGCGGCTTCCAACCGCAGCCTGGACGCCACTGGTGCCATCGAGGTCCGGTCTCTGCGGGATCCGGGACACTAACCCCACAGCCGGCCCACAGGGCGCAGAGCCAAGGAAGGGGAGCATAGGGCGGGGACGGCCTGACATTTCCAAGCCCTACCGCGGCCCGCATCTCGCCGGACTGCCGACCCGGTGGTGCAGACCCAGACGTGCACAACCCGCGTCTCCACAGACTTTTCCTTGGTCCCTGTGCGCCACCTCCCGGCACGCTGCGCGGATTGGAGAGGCGGGGGTCGAGGCGGGGCCGGAAGGGGCGGGGCCGGAAGATGCGCTTGCGCACATGTCAGACTGCCTTCCCCCCCCCACCCATGGCGCTACGTCTTCTGATTGGACTGGACTTTGATCTCTCGCGAGAGTAGGTGTGAGCGCGCCAAATTTTTCTTGGAGCCTTGGGAGATCTGCGGGCAGCGTCATGGTCCTGAGGAACGGCGGGCGGCGGTACGCCGAGCCGGGCGCGGACGGCGAAGGCAGCCGGTAAGAGCAGGCGCCCCGCTGCGCAAGCACTCGCGGTTGCCGCGGACCGAGGGGGGCACAGCCTCCGACTCCGGCTGACGCGGGGTCGGGCCTCGGCTGGGAGGGCTGACTTCTCACCACCTTTCCTGCTGGGAGGGCTCCGTTTTCAGCGCCTTTCCTGCGGGGAGGGCTCCCTTCTCCCCACCTTCCCCGGTTGGGCTCCTTGTTGTGTTGACCTTGCGTGTCTTCTTAGGACGCTTTTATTTTAATTTGTTATGAGAGGGAGACTCCCTCTGTCGCCCAGGATGGCCTCGAGCGCCAAGGAATCCTCCTGCCACAGCCTCTGAGTGCCGGAACTAGACGTTCTTGTACCTTTTGAGTGACTTTCCTGGGGAGACGTAATGGAATGTCTCTTCGCCCTCAAGTAAGGAGGGAGCAGGCAAACCAAAGAAAGATTATGTCAAGTTCAGCGTGGCGAAGTAAATCAGTTTATTAGTACATCGATTACTCTCGGGCAGCTTCACCACCCGGAGTGCCAACCCTCTTCCTACCAAGCTCTTGTTTCATATGGTTCATATGGCAAACCTGATTCAGAACATTGCCTGATGTGTTACAAGTCTGTGTTTGACTACATGCTCAGAGGACATAGGGCACGTACTCAATCCTTGCCCCTGTCAGGGATTTGCTGGTGCCTGTCACCATGAGGAGGATGATTTGTTTTGCTTGACCGTAGTGTATAGGCTAGGTTTTGCTACAAGATGGAGTGCTCTGGCCAGGATTTGGAGAACTAGCTAGTCTCAGCATGATACTTGTGGCTTCACAGCTCCGTTTAGATCTTCCACATACTAAATATAAGGAAATAGAGTCAGGCATTAGCCAGAGAAACTACAGTATGGTGATAAGGGAAACAGGTGCAGATTTATGTTCAGACTGGAACACTGGTGGTAGAGACAGGTAGATGTGTGGTAAGAATTTATCAACATACAAGTCCTTGAGCAGAAACCCTTCCTGAGCATGAGTAGTGGTAGAGTGCTTTCCTAGCGAGTGTGAAGCTGTGGGTCTGATGTACAACACCAGCATGTCAACTACCACAATGATAGTTACTGTGCTGACTGTTTCATGTCCATAAGCAAGTGAAAAAACACACAAAATGGACGTGGCTCTTATACTAGTATGTTCATGATATACTTAAATTTGGAGATGAGAGATGTGAAGTAATTTACCAGAATTCACAGTTGCATGATGTGTTTTTGTGGTTTGTTTTGTTTTGTACTGGAAATGGGACCCAGGGCCTCACGCATGACAGGCAAGCGCTACCACTGAGCTACATCACCAACCTGTAATCATGGACGTGCCCATAATCATTCTGCTTTGCCATGTGTGGATGTCTTTACAGCAGATGGAAGGCTGTTGTAGGAGAAACAAAAAAACCCTAAGTAGTAACTTTTAAAAAAAAATAGTTTTATTAATGCAGGGTGTGATTGTGCATGCTGTTAATCCCAGCACTTGGGAGGCAGAGGCAGGTGGATCTCTGTGACTTCGAGGCTGTCCTGGTCTATACAGTGAGTTCCAGGCCAGCTGGGGCTACAGGGAGACCCTGTCTCAAAAAGACCAAAAAGAAAAAGAAAAAAAAAATATATATATATATATATGTGTGTGTGTGTGTATATATGTATATATAAAACATGTAATATATAAAATATGTATTTTACATATATAGTTTTATTAGCTGGCTGTGGTGGCACATGCCTTTAATCCTAACACTCTTGGGAGGCAGAGGCAGTCAGGTCTTTGTGAGATTGAAGCCAGCCTGGTCTACATAGAGAGTTCTAGGCCAGCTGGGGCTACAGGAAGACCCTGTCTCAAAAATTAAAAAAAAAAAAATCTTTTCTGCATGTACTTGTATTTAGTTCTATGTAGTTTAATCACATGTGTATTCATGGGTTTACCAGCAAAGTCAAGGTGCAGAAAGGTCTGTCATAAAAATTTTGGTGCTGATTTTCATGACCATAGCCATTCCTCTGCTTCCATCTTTGGCAACTGGTAATCTATTCCCCATGTCTATAATTTTATTGTTAAAATGCTGTATAAAATGGCATCATGAGATGTGTAGCTTGGGAGGGTTGTTTTTTGTTGCTCAGCCTAATTCTCTGGTGATCCATCCAAGCTGTATTTATTAAGTTATTGCTGATTAGTATTCGTGTAGGGATAGATCAAAACCACTCTCTTGCCAAGGAATATCTGGGCTGTTAGCAGGTTTTGGCTTCTTTGAATAAAGGTGCTGTGGACATTTGCATACAAGTTGTTTTTCTCCCTCCCCCCATGCATGTAAGTTATGTGAACATGAGTTTTTATTTTTCTGGGGTTAGTGCTTAGCAATGCAGTGCTGGGGTTTGTGCATTGTTAGTATCCTGAGGCAGCAGCATCCACCTATGACTGCTGTTTTTGTTTTGTTCTAGATATAAAACCAAATGGGGTTAGGGGACCTGCCCTGGTTTTATTTTTCTCATAAATGCTGTTACTTCATTGAGCTTTTTGCCAGCCTTGACATTTTTCAGAAACACTTAGACACTGGGTTAAGGGGTCTGAGGTGGGAGAAGTCATGAGTGGTGACACCTGGTTCTCTTCTTTCACTCAGGGATGATGGCCCATCATCCTCAGTCTCAGCACTCAAGCGTCTAGAGCGGAGCCAGTGGACAGATAAGATGGACTTGCGGTTTGGTTTTGAGAGGCTGAAAGACCCTGGAGAAAGAACCGGCTGGCTTATCAACATGCACCCTGTACGCACCTGAACATTGCACAGCCTTCGCTTCTCAGGGTGGCTACACCCCTTTCTACCTGCAACATCAGTCTTGTCTGAGAATGGGTGATAGGGGAGGAGGGAGCCGTTATCTGAGAGATCTGGTTATTAGAGGCAGTTCTCCTTTCCTGTTTTACAACTTGGAGGCCACAAAGTGGCCATCATGGTAAGACCAAAATGAAGGGGGACCTCTTGGCCATCAGCATAAAGCTTTCGAGAATTATCACAGAGAAATTCAGAAAAAATCCATACTGGGGAACCATCATAATGCAGTTCTTGTGAACAAGGCTTGTTTGTACAGGGTCAAAGTAAAAAGCTGGTGTGAAGATTTTCTTTTTAAAGTGTTCAGGTTCTCAAAGAGTAGCCCCCAAAGGGCTCTTCAGCTGTGTAGAGGATAATATACTTATGTTGGCTGGTTCTCCTACAGACTGAGATTTTAGATGAAGATAAGCGCTTAGTCAGTGCAGTGGATTACTACTTCATTCAAGATGATGGGAGCAGATTTAAGGTAAGCCCCTCACTCCAAAAAACTAAGACCTGCTCATGACAAGTTGTCCAAAATGAGAGAAATTCCTTCACTTTGTCTGAAAGGAAGTAGGAGACTAGTGTATAGCTGCCTACAGCCCATCAGAAGCATGGCCCCTATAAACTGCATCAGCCACATTTAAGATGTCCTGAAAGTAGTATGTCTCTCAGGTTCCTGTGTACAGTCTCTTAAAGGAGCTGTCAAGGTCCAAGATGTTTTGGATCCAGATTGCTTATGGGTGCTACCTTGAAACCTGCCTTCACTTTCTCTCTTTTTTCTTGTCACACCCGGATGGGTTGATGACTCTTGCAGGTGGCCTTGCCCTATAAGCCATATTTCTACATTGCAACCAGAAAGGTAAGTCTGTGTTTGGTACAAACAGGTCAGATGATCTTCCTTTCTTCTACTAGGTGGTTTTTAAAACTGTGAACTGGGTAAGAAATAGATCTTATTAATGGGAAGCCCATTCATTCTAATCCTGATTTAGGGTTGTGAGCGGGAAGTTTCATCTTTTCTATCCAAGAAGTTCCAGGGTAAAATTGCAAAGGTAGAGAATGTGCCCAAAGAAGACTTGGACTTGGTGAGTACCCCCAGACCTTCCAGGGGTGGATGAGGCTGCTCTCCACTCTGTCGATGCCAGACAATATTGTGTGAGCTAGAAGGTTGGGTCATTTAATGGATAGTGGAGCAGCATGGAGAATAAGGGATGGTGGTTGTTCCCAAAGCTGCCTTTAAAGAACTGTGGTGCACATGCAGAGGTGGGCTAAGTGCTTTGACTTGTAGGCACCTACCTGACAGTCTTTACCCTCCTACTTCTCATCTTTAATTCCTTAACGTGTCTCTTCACTTTATAGCCAAATCACTTGGTGGGCTTGAAGCGGAATTATATCAAGCTGTCCTTCAACACCGTGGAGGACCTTGTCAAAGTGAGGAAGGAAATCTCCCCTGCTGTGAAGAAGAACCGAGAACAGGACCATGCTGGAGATGCATACACAGCAATGCTCTCCAGGTGACTTTTCTTCTTGTGAGCAAAGTGCCAGTTGCTGTAAAATAACAAGATTATATAAGGCAGGAAATCTTTTGTGGGGCCACCTTAATGCTTGACTACATGCAAAGCAGAAACACTTGAGCAATTAGGTAGAAATCTTAGGTGCTCTTTAGGGCTGTATTCTATTTTATGCTTTACCTCCTTGTATAGGAGGTGGGTTTGTGGCTCAGAAACTGAGTTGTTAATAACAATGAGGCCATTTTAGAGAGCTCTCTATCCACCACTTTAACACAGTTGGTCCACAAATTTTATCAAGTGTTATGTTTTATAGATGTCTTCTCCAGAGAATCTGGAGTACACAGAGAAATTTAAGTACAGAGCACCAAGTACTGTTATTAAATGTTTAGGCATAACAGGAAAGCAAAGTAAGATAAGAGAAAATCTCAGATAATTAAGTTTGGGTGACTTCAGAAAAACTAATCACAGTCTTTTGACAAAGATCATTTAAAGAACTAGGGAGGTGCTTAGATGGCAGTGCATATGCTGTATAAGAGTAAGGACCTGATTTTGAAACCCCAGGACCCACATACTGCTGGGCTCAGTAACATGTGTGGTCCCAGTGCTTCTATGGGAAAATCAGTGACAAAAGACAGGATCCCCAGAAGTTCATGGGTTAGCCAGCTTGTTGTGTACAGGGGCAAAACAACAAAAAAGAAACCTTGTTTTAAGACAAGGTGGAAGACAAGGACTGACACCTGGTATAGACACCTAAGGTGGTCCTCTGTCCTCTGTTCATGTACTGTGGCACACAGGCACACCGAAAAGAAAAAAAAAAAAAAAGACCAAAAAAAAGTTTGAAACTGAACATTTCTGTAGTTACTCCCCCAACTCCATCATCTCCAGTGATACCATAAATTGCTCTTCAGAATGTTGTAAGGTGTAGTCAGTCCACAGGGGCCTGAGCTGTCTTTCATTTTTCTCTTTCAGAAGCCAGTCAACTTTGAACTTAGAGTGAGGGAGTGCTTTGTTTTGTTTTAATTTAAATTTTATTTATTTGCAGTGCTGAGGATTGAAACTAGGGCCTTACGAATACAAGGAAAATGTTGTACTATTGAGCATTTTCCCCTAACTCCTTTTCTTTCCTTTTAATTTTTTGTTGGTTTGGTTTGGTTTGGTTTAGTTTGGTTCTGAGTCAGTCTCACACTATAGCCCAAATTGACCTGGAGCTCACTATGTAGACTGGGCTGGCCTCTGACTTGCAGCAATCCTCCTGTATCAGCCTACTAATTTTTAGAATTATAGGCTTGAGCCACCACACCTGACTTAGAGTATATCCCAGTGAAAGATTTCCTACTTGGATCTGAGACTGTTATAGGAACAGTTGACATTGTCTAGTCATTTCACTACAGCAATCTGATTGCTTTATAACATCTCATTACTACTCACTCTGCTCCTATGGAATGATGTAGTTACTTTCTTCATTAATGAAGAAAGAGATGCTCTGCCAAGGGTGGGCCGTATCTGTCAACACAGTAGAGTTGTCCACAGTCTGCATAGAAGCAGCTCTGCTCTCTCTCCAGCCTTGCATGGAGCAGCCTGCCAATAGAGAGGATGTGTTAGGAGTAGCCACACTAAGGTACTCTCCTGACTGCAGTGCTAAGTGTAACTTACCATGTAAAATGTACACATCTCAAGTATTCTCTGAATTTTCTTGTCTCTGTGGCCTGTTGCTCAAGTAGGGTAATTATCCAAGGCCATTTTTCTAGAGCCTGCCCTGGTCATTGCAACTGTCTCAGTTGCCTTAGTGTTTACTCAGTTTGGACTCCAGTCTTCACCATCTCTAACCCCTAGCAGATCAAAGTTTAGTTGTTGGGTTTCTGTGCTTACTTACCAGTGTTCTGCAAGGGGGCAGTGTAATTACTGATGAAGAGGAAACCTCTAAAAAAATAGCCGACCAATTGGACAACATAGTGGACATGCGAGAGTATGACGTCCCCTACCATATCCGTCTCTCCATCGACCTCAAAATTCACGTGGTAAGGGGAAGGTAGCTATTGCTTGAGTGAAGTTCCTCAGAGCTGGGGGGTAATATGGATAAATCTGCACAGAAATAGACCTTTCTGGGACTGGCAAGATGGCTCAGCAGGTAAAGGTACTTCCTGGCAAGCCCGATGATATGAGTTCAGTCCCCAAGACCCAATGGTGGAAGGAAAGAACCAATTCCTACAAGTTGTTCACTGACATACACACATGCGAATGTGCGTGCACACACACATACATGCACATGCTAAATAAATGTAATAAAAAGGTTTTTTTTTTTTTGAAAGAAATAGATGTTTCTGGATGGAGAACTCATTGATTCATGCTGCAATGTTCCACAGGCTCACTGGTACAATATCAGGCACCGAGGAAATGCTTTTCCAGTGGAAATTGCCAGACGAGATGACCTTGTTGAACGACCTGTAAGTACTACTTGTATTTCCTCCACCTTAAAATTCAAATAGCTTTCTGAAAACAATTAGGAAGTAGACGGTCTTCATCAGTCTCTCACCTGAAAGCATATTTTTGTACCTGTGTATTAACCACAGCCATCAGTTTTTGAATTAGACTGTATTTGAACCTTTGAGCTTCCATTTGGGTACTTGATAGGTGACTGAGAAGTAGATTTCTAAGTGGAAGGTATTATTAGTTCAGGTTTAGCCTTGAGAACTTAGGAAAGTCTCTGTGCTTAGTTTTCTCATTTCCAAGGTGAGGATGTCAGCTCCAACAGTCACCTGCCAGGGTTGTCCCAACAGTGAAATGAGGCAGTATGTGTTTAGGAGCTTTGGGACTGAGGTGTTCTGTGAGGTGGTCTAATTAGCAGCTCTAACTTTTATCCCTTGTGTATTTTCATTTTTATACCTTCAAAGAAAACCTCAATGTGGGGTTTGTTAGCGTTAGGGTTTGAGGGGGGTTTGTTTTGTTTGAGTACTGGGGATTAGACCCCAGACTGAATGTGGGTGTCCAGGGAGATATCCAGACCTGAATTTATGCTCTATTTTGTCCATCTAGGACCCTGTGGTTTTGGCATTTGACATTGAGACAACCAAGCTGCCTCTCAAATTTCCTGATGCCGAGACAGACCAGATTATGATGATCTCCTATATGATTGATGGGCAAGTAAGTAGGATTGCTTCTGGAAAAACTTAAAATTCCTTCACAGGATTTTCTTATTTCTTTGTTTTTGAGGTAGGATCTCACTGGCCTCAAATTCATAGTGGCCCTCTTGCTTCAGCCTTCTGAGCATTAAGATTACAGACATGTACTACCATGCCCAGCTTGCCTTCATGTGTTTTAGATTTCTTTGAAGTAAGGCTCTGGGAAGCTTCTGGGTATGGTAGGAAGCTGTATCTCAGCTTTGCTGTTGTTGACTTACATTGTCTGCTTATGAACTTTACCAGGGCTACCTCATCACTAACAGAGAGATTGTTTCAGAAGACATTGAAGATTTTGAGTTCACCCCCAAGCCAGAATATGAAGGACCCTTTTGTGTCTTCAATGAACCTGATGAGGTAAAGAAGTTTTGTGGAGAAACTATCTGGTGTGTGTGATAAGGTTGGAAGAAAAAGCAAACTGATTCTTAGGCTTAGGCATTTGTTGCTCTGTGAATCTCCTCTTCCATGGGCAAGACCAGAGTGAGGCCTGGGCATATGGACTAACATGTGACTGCTGCTTTTGAGTGTAAGCAGAGAAAAGGGGCCTGCTGACTGCTGTTGTTTGTTGAGCTCAGGTCCATCTAATCCAGAAATGGTTTGAGCACATCCAGGAGACCAAACCTACCATTATGGTCACCTACAATGGAGATTTTTTTGACTGGTGAGTCCAGCTTACTGTTATGGGCAGCTCTTAGGGAAGGAAGGGATTGGAGCAGCTCTGCCTGGTGGCATCATTGGATTTCTCATTCTTATTAAGAAATGCATTCAAGCAGTGTCTGCTTCACTCGTGTCTCCTGGGAGCCATCTACTTGTATTCAAGTAAGAACAAAGGAAGGAGAACTAGAGACTCATTTATCGCCTTTGCTTGTCTCCTTTTGTTGTTAGGCCATTTGTGGAGGCCAGGGCAGCAATCCATGGCTTGAGCATGTACCAGGAGATAGGCTTCCAGAAGGATAGCCAGGGGGAATACAAGGCGCCACAATGCATTCACATGGACTGCCTCAGGTAGGTGCACTCCACATAGCTCACAGCTCATCATTGTGACCCCATAAATGAAATACAAAGATTTCTTGTACAAACAGGGGCCCTTGACATATCTGTTGTGAGAGGAGACTGGCCTTCAGGCAATAGCTCTAGGTCAACAGGGATTTGTTGTCCGATGTTGCTAATCTTCAATTTAGTCAGCCAGTGTGTTGAACATCAGCCTTTGGAATGGGGAAGCTGAACTAGAAAGAAACATAAGTAGAGCAAGATCCTGGTGTTTATCCAGATGAGGTCAGGGTGAGGCACCAGACTGGTTCCACAGGATATGTGATTTCAAGATGAGCTGAATATACTCCATGGTAATTGAAAGCAAGTAGGTAGTTCATCATGTTTGATGCATGGGCCCCTGTAGGTAGGAGGTTTTAGGTGAATTTGTAAATGCAAAGAGCTAGCTGGAGAGGGCGGCTTTTGAGCTGGATGAAAAGATGGTTTTCATCAGCCACCTCATACAGAGGCCTGATGGTGTTTGTTTCACTATGACATTTGAACATTTGGGTAAGACTGAGGCCAGGAGATTACAGCTTGTTCATAGGGTAGCAAGTTGCGGTTTGACCCAACACAGTAGGTAAAGAGAAACACCACTGAGGTTTGCTAATTTGGGGGGCTTCAGGGATGGGTGGGTATCTAGGGGACTCTGCTTTGTTTGACTTGCAGTGGGAAAGTAGGTTTGATATAGGAAAGTGTTCTGCTGTGATTGTGGTGGTTTGGAACTGTCTGGGCATTTGGAAAATCCCAAAGACTGGATAGCATCACCTAGAGCCTTAGGTTTGGTTGCAGCTTACACACTGGATTAGAGTCTCAGTCAGAGTCCTGGTAGATGGTGTACTCACAAGGTGCTAAGTATAATGAAAGGAAAAGGCCTGAGGCTCTGTACAGGAGTGGGCCATGAAGAGTTTGCAGGGGGAGTGGACAGCTGCTGGCAGAGAGGTCACAGGAGGTAGTAGCTAAGTATGGCCATTGAACAGTACAGTCCTAGAGAAGGTGTTAGTTATCGACTAGATGGACTGAAGGTACAGGTTGGAAGTGGAGATGGATTCTTTATTGAGAAGCACCTTGTAGTGTATGTGAAGCCAGAGGTCAATGTCAGGTGTCTTCTATTGCTCACCACCTTCTTTTTTGAGATAAGGATCTGTCAGTGAACCTGGAACTTGCTACTTTTGCTAGACTGGCTGGCCAGTGAGTCTGTGGGATCCATCTGTCTCTACTCCCTTACTGCTGGGGTTGCAGGGCAAGCACTTTATCTGAGCTATCTCCCCAACCCTAGAGGACTTCTTCTAAAGAGGGTAGTCTTGAGTGTGTCTATGATGAAGGGACAATGTAAGGGGAAAGGAGAGATGATGAGGTAGTTTATGGAAGAAGGTTAAAGGGGTACAGAGAGGCCTAGAGATTCCTGCCTTGTTTTTTTCATTTCTCCATAACAAGAGGCTAAGTTTTTTGCCAAGAGTGGGAGGTAAGGCAAGGGGCTCAAAGGATGTCATGGCATTTGCCTGTATTTTGTGGGTACATTTGAGGTTAGCTTCATGTGGAGATTTTGAGGACTTTTACCGTGTAGGATCTTGGTGTGTTTCTTGAGTGCTTCTAGGACCTGCATTCTTATGTGTTGTATGTGGTTTTACCAGCCTTTGTGTTACCACTGTTTCTAGATTTGTCTTCCTCTTCCCCTTCCCAGGTGGGTGAAGAGGGACAGCTACCTTCCTGTGGGCAGTCATAATCTCAAGGCAGCCGCCAAGGCCAAGCTTGGCTATGACCCTGTAGAGTTGGACCCTGAAGACATGTGTCGTATGGCCACTGAGCAGCCCCAGGCACGTAAGCCCATCTGCTCTCCTGTGCCTCCTCGAGCTCATGCTCATTCTGACTGGAGAGGCCAGGTTGCCTGGGATGTGAGTGCCAGTTTTCTAGCCTGGCCTACTTCTTAGCCCTGCCTCCTTCCTGAACTTCATTTTCTGTGTTTCACATATTTCCTTGGACCCTTGATTTTTGATGGTTCTGCTCTCTGCTATTCTCCCCAGACTCTGGCCACTTACTCAGTATCAGATGCTGTTGCCACTTACTACCTGTACATGAAGTATGTCCATCCCTTCATATTTGCCCTGTGTACCATTATTCCCATGGAGCCTGATGAGGTTGGTGTCACTTGTACTACTCTAGTCAGCCTCTGCTCTTTTCTACATGCATTGGTGTTCAGAGGTGAGCTGGTCCTGGTGGTGAACTCTGGTGTGTGTCATCACTGGCATCTTTAAAGAATCTAGGGTCCCAGTGTGAGAATAACCAGAGGAGGCAGGCTGAAGTTACTGGGTCTTTTTTTTTTCCTTTCTTTCCTTACAAGGTTAGATGCCTTTCTGGGGGCCCTGGACTTTGCCTGGGAATCAGGACTTTTGACAAAGGCTTGGGGTGGGGGTGCACAGCTGGACACAGCATCTCTCCTACAGGTGCTGCGGAAGGGGTCTGGAACATTGTGTGAGGCCTTGCTGATGGTGCAAGCTTTCCACGCCAACATTGTCTTCCCCAACAAGCAAGAGCAGGAGTTCAATAAGCTGACTGATGATGGCCATGTGCTGGATGCTGAGACCTATGTGGGGGGCCATGTGGAGGCACTGGAATCTGGTGTCTTCCGCAGTGACATCCCCTGCCGGTTTAGAATGGTGTGCCTCCTTCCTAGGTCTTCCTAAGGCTTTGCTTCTTCCCACTCTTGCACTTTGGTGGAACCCAGAAGTCATGGGCTGATCCCTTCTCCCCATCCTCTCCCATAGGCCACTTTTGCTAGGTATAGTTTCTCAGGCCCAGCCCTAATTTTACCCACAGCTTATATAGGCCACGGTTCCATTTGGTGCTTCCCAAGCCACAGTACACTGCCAGAGCATACCCTGCCTTGTGTCACACTGGAGGTACATAAGGTCCATCTGACTCATTTCCTCTCCTGTCTTACACTAGAATCCTGCTGCCTTTGATTTCCTGCTGCAACGAGTTGAGAAGACTATGCGCCATGCCGTTGAGGAAGAAGAGAAGGTGCCTGTGGAGCAAGTCACCAACTTCCAAGAGGTAGCCAGCTAGGAGGCAAGGAGTCAGCCTCTATTTGGCTCTGCCCATCCTTGCATGCCTGTAGCATCTTAGCTTTTGATGTGGCTGTCATACTGCCCCTAGGACCTGCCTTGCTACCTTCTTACTCCTTACTGTGCCGAGTTCATTTATGTTAGTGACCAGTATTCTTTGTTTCTTCTTGTCTCCCCTTTCTCTGTAGGTGTGTGATCAGATTAAGACAAAGCTCAACTCCCTGAAAGATGTTCCTAACAGAATTGAATGTCCTCTTATCTACCATCTGGATGTGGGAGCCATGTATCCCAACATAATCCTCACAAACCGCCTACAGGTGAGACCTCACTTCCTACATCATGAGCAGAGCTCTCTCTGAAGACCTGGATTGTTTTCTAACTGTCCCTCTTCTTTTGCAGCCTTCTGCCATGGTGGATGAAGCCACCTGTGCTGCATGTGACTTCAATAAGCCAGGAGCAAATTGCCAGAGGAAGATGGCCTGGCAGTGGAGGGGGGAGTTCAGTGAGTATTAAGCCCTAGAGGGTGCTCAGTCGGGCAGGGCAGACCTAGACTCTGGTCTTCATGGAAATCTATCCCATCACTTTCTTTCCAGTGCCTGCCAGTCGCAGTGAATACCATCGAATTCAGCACCAGCTGGAGTCAGAGAAGTTCCCTCCCTTGTTCCCAGAGGGGCCAGCACGGGCCTTTCATGAGCTGTCCCGAGAGGAGCAGGCTAAATATGAAAAGCGGAGGCTGGCAGGTAAGTGCCTAGTAAGGCCGTAGCTTGCCAAGCTGCAGCTTTTTTGAACAGAAGTATGGCATATTGCAGCCCTAGGGCAGAAGAGTTGTTTTAGATCACTTTAAATTATGTCCTTTCTTTACTTCTCCTTTACAAATGCTCAGGAAGTAAACTTTTTCCATGATCTTAGTATGAGGTTGTTAGTACTCTGGGCTGTTGTTTTTACAGTGATAACTAGCAACATATCTGGGTGGTTTTTTTGTTTTTTTTTGTCTTTCTGAGACAGGGTCTCCTTGTTAGCCCCAGCTGACCTGAAACTCACTATGTAGACCATACTGGCTTTGAACTCACAGAGATTTGCATGCCTCTACCTCCCGAGTACTGGGGTTAAAGGTGGGCACCACCACACCTGCCCTTATCTGGCAGGTCTCAGATACTACTCCAATACTCTCAATTGTCTTAGATTATTGCCGGAAAGCCTATAAGAAGATCCACATGACCAAGGTGGAAGAGCGCCTCACCACCATCTGCCAGAGGGAAAACTCCTTTTATGTAGACACAGTGCGGGCCTTTCGGGACAGGCGTTATGAGTTCAAAGGGCTGCACAAGGTGGGTCAGAACAAACTGGTTTCTGAAGTAAGAGGGTGTTTGGTTCTGCTAGGACATTCTTGGCTCCTAGCTGTAGTATGATGTGAGCTAGCACATTCATCTCAACAATAAATGCACTATTGTCTATAAACTTGAAGAATTTTTTTTAAGTTTTTTTAAAATTTATTATTTTTATTTTATGTGTATGAGTGTATTGCCTGCATGTATGTAAGTGCACCTGTGTTGTGCAATGCCCACAGAGGTCGGAAGAGGGCATTGGATCCTTTGGAACTGGAGTTATGGATAGTTGTTAGCTGCCATGTGGGTGCTAGGAATCAAGTCTGGGTCCTCTGCAAGAATAGCCAGTGCTCTTAACTGCTGAGCCTTCTCTCCAGCCCCAAGCTTCAAGAATTAATAGCCAAAAAGGATGCAAGGATTTGTCTGCCATGCCCTGAGCCTTTCGAACTATGCTGAGCAGTTGTTTCAGAGGTGGTTGTATAGAACAGCACCTGCAAAGGACACTAGCTGTGCTGATAAAGACTAACTAAACAAGATGTGTCCATGAGTTGACTGCTTTCCCGGTACAGCAAGAGGAACAGTTCTGATAGACTCTTATGGCCACCACCACACAGACTGGATGTGACCGTGTGGTTTGCTAACCTCTGAAAAAGAATTAGGGAAATGTTTTTAGTGACACATTCATCTGGGAAGAGCAAGTAAAATATGTGGCAATATATCAATTTATCTCTTGGTAGAAGGTTTATCCCTTCATGTAAAGATTTAAATGGTTTCTTTTTTTATGTAAGAACGTATTTTATGTTCTGAGAGCCCTTCTCTTGCTGCTCGATTTGGCAGGATCCCTGCTTTGTGTGGCCCCTTATACTCTACTATTCTGATGTACAGTGCTCATCACTTTTTATAGTAGTGAGGTGAACATATCATGAGTTTAACATGAAGTTGGATGCCATTTGTTATTCCAGTGTCACCACTGCTCTCTCTAGAACTCTTCATCTGTGTTAGTCAGACTTCCATTGCTATCCTGAAGAATCTGACATAATTTAAGAAAGATTTAAGTTTATAGTTTCATAGGGTTGACTGGATTTGTATCTAAATCATGGTGAGGTAGAACATCCATGTCGAAAGGGCATGGTTGAGCAGAACTACTTTATGGTGACTAGGAAGAATGGAGATAGACCAGAAGAGGCTGGGGACAAAAATCATGCCTCTCTGTGACTTTCTTCCTCCAGTTAGGCCCCATTCCTAGTTTCTGCTATGTCCCAATAATGCCACCATATTATGACTCCATTAATTAGGTTAGAGTTCTCAGGATCCAGTCACCTCTCAATGATTGGATTCATTAGCTGGGAACCAAGACTGCAACACATAATTGGGTTTGGGGGACATGGGGAAGGTAGGGGTACTTCATAGCCTTGTAACATCTCCCCGAACTAAAATTCCTTATCTGTTTAATACTGATCCTTAGCCCCTATTTTCTACTACTCTTTTTTGTTTCTAAATTTGATTCTCCTAGGTACCTCATCATATAAGAAGAATTAATAGTATTTTTTTTAATAAGAAGCATTTCATTACAGCTTTAACATACTCAATAACAGTTTCCAGAGCAAAAGATACATCTCTTTCAAAAGTGGCTATAAAATCTTTAGTTTTGCTGTTGAATTAATACATTTATACAATATTGAACTCAGTATAAACCTGTAAGACATAAAATTGAATGAGTTTTTAACCTTTAAGATCTCCATTTCATTTCAAAATATGTTTCTTACAGAAAGACTTTGTTTTTGCTAATAACACTGAGATGTTGGCGTATGCATCTCTAATCTGTATGTATCTGATTATTACTAGTTATAATCACTTGCACTCAGATCTTTGGCACCTGTGTATAAAGTGATCGGGTAGATTTCAATGGTAATGTTTATCACCTCTACTAATTAACATGACATAACTTTTTATGCTTCCTCCTCAAATATAATTCATTTTTTAAAATTTTTTGATTTGTGTGTGTGTGTGTGTATATATGTGTCTGTATATAACACAACATCCCAAACCATCTTATTCAACTGTACACCTACTTCCCATATGGCACCCTCCCATAGCCTCCCTACCCCCACTAGAGCCCTTATACTCTGTTATCCCTGCTACTGTCCACTGTGATGTTGTCATCCCTACCTGTTCCCCACTAGTCCATCTGGTGAATCTAGTCAGCCTATCTAGAGGTCTTTGTTTTAGGAAGGTCAGCTGTTCCTCATCTAGCAGCAATCAGTTGTCAATATTCCTTTAGATGAGATTGGGGTCTGCTGTTCATTTTCCCAGTTCTATACTGGGATACTGACTGGGAATCCCTTGGGCCACCCTGGCCAACAACTCAAAAGAAGGTATCTCCTATCTGGCATTGTTGCTTGTTATGTACCCTTTAGCTATACATATGGATTCTTAAAAAAATTATATTGGCTCCTTTAATCTTTGGTTATACTTTCCTTTTGGATGTTTAAGGCCATACAATTGGCCAAGATAAACCAACTTACTTTTACTCTTAACAGCTGTTTGAGGATCTGTTCCTCAGGAGGAGCCCCTGGCTCCTTTCTTTTACCAGTTCCACTTATGTGAAGATAAGTCAAAGGTCCTGCTCGACCATGGCTGGGCTTCGCTTGAAAGCATGGAGGAAATGTTTCCTCTGTGTTGACCCTCCTCTTTGTAGACTGGACACTGGTTCAAGTCCATCTGGTGGGGTCTTCTCGGCCTCCGTGATCAAGAGGACAGGTGACCCACCACAATTACAGGACATTTTGAGAGATGCTCATAGTCCCCTGGAACTAGTCAACCTAGAAGGGCAAGGATCAAAAAGTATCCTTCTGACCAAATTAGCATAGTCCTCAAAGTATGTCTGTTAAACATCCAAGGTTAGTTCCACCGGTCTGGTACTTTTAATTACTGTGTGCCATGTAGATAAATCTTGGGCAAAGACCAAACGTTCTCAGATAAACCTTGCCTAGACAGATATTATATTCTTTGATCTAGTTTTATGTATAATTTGTCAGTAAGTTGTTCGAACAATATGATTCCCTCTTTTGTTTTTTTTTTATCTCTCTCATTGTCTCACCCCTCCATCATGGTTTTCCCACTTAAGGTGCCCCCATTTCCCCCCTTTCTCCCTTAATAATACCTTTCTCCTACAGTCCTACCTCTCCTGAGCTCCTTCGTTCCCTTTATCCCCTAGGTTCCTACTATACCCTTCCCTCCCCCCTCCCTTAAACTAACCCAATTTTTTATTCATATCTCCCTTATTAAAGCCTGTTTCCTACCGTTCTTTTTTCAGGTTCTTTCTTTTCCTTTACCTCCCTGATTCCTCTATCCTGGCTCCTGTAGTTATGTCTGGATACATACTCACTTATCAGGATTTGGTGCTAGGATCCACATGTGAGGGAGAACATATGTCGATTTTTTGTCTGAGTCTGTGTTACTTCACTTAGTATAACAGTTTCTAGTTCCATTCATTTACCTGAAAATTTCATGATTTCATCTTTCTTTACTGATCAGTAAAACTCCATCACATAAATGAACCATATTTCC